AAACATTCTGAAACTTGAAGTGTAACTGTTTAACATGACCTCCAACTTAATTAGCTTTAAGAATAAGACCATATTTATAAAACCTATTTGAGGACAGCAACTCAAGATAATTATAGTACGTAGATGTTTTTACATGTTCATTTCCACACATCCATTTTGCAGTGCTTCCAAGTGTACCACCATTCCGAAAAGTAAGATTTCTGTCTTATCTACATTAATTTGTAAGCCCAATCTAATCCTAATTTCTTTGAGAACATTGCATTTCTATGTTATACCAATAACTGTCATCAAAGGGTCTTCTGCATATAACAATAACAATATATCTAGTTTGTTTCGGTTTGTTGTTTAACGCCGCACTCAGCAATATTCCAGCTATATGACGGCGGTCTGTAAATAATCGAGTCTGGACCAGACAATCCAGTGATTGACATCAAGAGCTTCGATCCACGCAATTGGGATACGATGACATTCATCAACCAATTCAGCGAGCCTGACCACCCGATCCTGTTAGTCGCCTTTTACGGCAAGCATAGGTTGCTGAAGACCTATTCTACCCAGGATCTTCACGACTTTTGAAGATACTTTAGAGATACAATCGAGCATGCTCTTTCTACTAAGATTTCAAAGATCGTCATACAACTCTTGCTCAGAAGTTGTTTTATCAAGGTTACACCATTCAAGGCCTCAGAAAGCTTTTAAAAAAATTTGGTATGGTGGACGCAAATTTAACGCATCGATGAAAAAATATGTCCTATGCAATTCCCTATTTTCATTTGTAGCAAATCTTCGCGTTTTGTTTTTCCGGTGAACAATTGACTTGCCTTTTCAGGTGTTTGTGACGGTTGCCAGCGACAACAGTATGCTTACCTTTTCGCGAACAACTGGTATCATCACAAATTCATAGTGATTCATGAACACATGTACACCACATACTAGTAGTCGGATTCTCTCACAGTCGACTATGTTTTTGACAGATTTTTCTCTTATGAATATGGAAAGGATTTAGTCGCTTTTATAAAATACAATTTAATCTCCAAAATGAAAACTAACCTTTCCTCTTGTGACATGTAGTTCAAAGAGGCTACATGGTCAGTTAATGAGTTTCACCAAGCTAAAAAGAAAACAGTCACATGATAAACACCTTTAACACCTTATCCAGAACGAGCCTATATTTAGTTTTACTAAACCAGAATAAGTTTCAGCAGGCTATAAAAACTACAAGTTGAAATACCTCACAAATGTACTAGACCTGAACATAGTTGACATTACAACGAAACTGCAAAACAACTGCAAAACACTACCACCAACACAACATAATTTTTATATTGCTTCAGACCTTTATACTTTATATTTCAGTTTCACGAAACAATTAAGTGAGTTGTGACGCTACTTTAACAGAATTTGTGTTATATAACTGTGTGTCAGCTTAATATGGGGGAAATGCCTGCTGTGGTAATGGTCAAAGACGTTTACCACTTTGGTGAAATCCACGAACATTGGGATGATGCTGACAGACCTAGAAACCTAATCCGTGATTCAAACCCACGGTCATATATTTCTGGTGTGTCCATGGAAAGCAACTCGACACAGCGAATACCGGCGCCTTAGACGACTGTGTCACTCATGCCACCAAGAAACAATATAGAACCCAATTACCCAATGACACCAATAAGTAAGGATGTTTCTGATAATACAACGAAACCTTTAATACTTGATGCAAAATCGCTCTGCTATACAATCACTGATGATTAAAAAGCTGTGATCTGATACTGACGACGATATATAATTGTATACAATTTTGCAGAAAATACAAACCTTATGAAGACCCTGATTTGGTTTTAGATAGCACTCCGATTAAAGGTGTAAAAGAGGCCAAGTTCTTGGGTATTATTGTTTATCTCCATTTAACCTTTTTACCACACATAAAATATTTAAAAAATAAATGACTAAAGGCACTTGACCTTCTGAAAGTCGTTTCCAGTTCAAAGTGGGGAGGGGATCACAAAACCCTCCTCCAACTGTACAGGGCACTCACTTATACGCTCTAAACTGGATTATGGCTCCATCATCTATGGGGGACTCTGTAAAAGTAATTTAAAAGTATTAGATAGTATTCATCATCAAGGCCTGAGGCTTTGCCTTGGAGCCTTCAGAACATCCCCTCTAAATAGCCTGTATGTGGAAGCTGATGACCCATGGCTAAAAATAACGTTGCATTAAATCATCTTTACAGTATATTTCTAAACTGCATTCTAATCAATCTAATCCAGCCTACGAATGTGTTTTTAATCCTCCATATAAAGAACAAAAATACATCTCTTACACCACCCCTAGGAATCAGAATACAATCTCATAATTCTGCTTCTCAAATTAATCTTGAAAATATAGCCCCAGCCAAACTCCAGTCTTCACCACCATGGCAGTTGGTAAAGCCAGTGGTGGATACAACATTAACTAAACTAAAGAAATCTGATCAACAAATCAACTAATTTTAACAACAATACAATGAATTACGAAGCACATATGATGCTTACAAATCTATATTTACAGATTGATCCAAGGATGGTGACGGAGTTGCCAGTGCCACCTTCATTGGATCCAGGACTATATCGTCAAGACTACCGGATAATTGTTCCATTTTTGCGCCTGAATCACATACTATATCAACAACACTAGAGTACATTTGTGAACAATCGAAATATAAACAATTTATTATAGTTTCAGAATCTTTATTCTGTCTTCAGACAATACAAAATCAGTCTTGCAAACATCCACTTTTAATCGAAATCCTTGAATTATATAATGATCTTGCTACTGGCCAATACGACATCGTCTTTTGTTGGTTACCCAGCCATGTTGGAGTCATTGGTAACACAATGATCGATGCTGCTGCAAAAACAGCTCTCAACACATCTGTGACACCACTTTTAATTCCATACAGTGATTATAAACCTGTGATCAGATGTTGCATCCGAGATCTTATGCAACAGAAGTGGGACACCCAAGTAGGTATCAACAAATTATATGAAATTAAACCAAATATGGGTTACACCTACTTGGGTTGTCAGTCCAGACTTGAAGAGGTAATTTTACGACAATGTCGTATTGGCGATAGTAGATATACTCACGGATATTTATTGAAAGGTGCAGATCTTCCATTTTGTATCCCTTTTGATGAAAGAATCACGGTCAAGCATGTCCTGCTTGACTGTATTGATTTTGCAATCACAAGGGATAACTATTTCACATCATCATCTCTCAAAGATCTTTTTAATAATATTACTTCTCTTTTAATTTTTGGTTTTTTAAAAGAAATAGAATTGTATAATATTTTTTGATAATATGTCTTGTATAAAATAAATGACCTTTTAAAATTGGTAGAATGAATTTATATCTGAGTTTGTTACTGACTGTATCCTCAAAGGGGGTTGACGTAGTAAAAAAATATTGACCCCCTGAGAGGATATCGTAAGTCCATGTCATTCAAAGAATATTTCTGCTTATTACTCCTTTAAACGTAGAATATTTGTAATTTTATTTGTTGCTAATTTTGCGTACAATCGCTAGTTGCTGAACAGATGATGTAAATCCTGCTGGGTTCGATGCAGGTTGCAAAGGTACTGTAAGTCCCCATGGTCCCCAGAATGGTGGTCTACCTTCAGTTGCTGGCGATCTATAGCCCGTTTTTATCTTGTATTGTTATGTATAGTGCCATCCTTTTTGATGATTCCATACTAGTTTTATATCTTTTTCTGTGAGAAGTCTAGTTATTTTACTGTCATTTGTTGGCAGGTTTTTATATAATTTTCAATGTATATATTATGTTTAACCCTTGATAGTGACGATATGGCTGAAATATTGCCGATGTGTCTTCAAATGTTCACTCACTCACTCACTCACTCACTCCTAACATATACGATTAATCATGGTTATTAGAAGTAGGTTTGTAAAAGCTAAATTCATAATTGCTTTAGCAAATAACAATGATGGTTCAACATACACTCACATGAATATTCAAAGCGTTAACAAATGTGTTCCATGCAATAAGATGACATAATTATAACATAACGTGATCGTATTCATGTCTTACAATCGTACAAACCACTCTGCTTTAAGCAGGGAAGTTTTGTTGCTTTTATTTACATATACAATGTCCGAACATCGATAGTGTAATGACATTCAAGTGTTATGTTGGGGCGCAGCATCATATTGACAAAGCTATTCAGTTGGTGATTGTGAACTTCAGATAATGACTAAATGGTTTCTGTTGGATACGAACAATACCTTTGTAATGTCGTGCATCATTTCTAATATTGAGTCTCAGCGTGTGGCCGTTTCCATTGCAGTTGTGCTGTTTCTTAATCGACGTTAACCACACTGACATAGTCTTGGAAATGTTTGACTTGCGCAGATGTGTCCTTATCATTCTTCTCTGTCACCTGACAAGTGGCTCTGTTTCTTACAAAGAGAAAGATTTTCTGGACAATCTCACATTGAACTATGACCCAAAGATCCGCCCCGTGTTAGATGGTTCCAATACGATGGTGGGTATCACAATTGGATTGTTCACAATTTTATCTTTGGATGAAAAACAGGAAGTGCTCAGCTTTAAAGCATGGGTTTTATTGACATGGAAGGACCAGCTTTTGGTGTGGAACATGACAGACGGCATTCCCAATACAGTGGCTATACCCTTGGTGGATGTATGGTCACCAACCATAATGAATCCTGACTCTGTGACAAACCTGAGGTATCTGAAAGATAATGCGGATACTGTGCTTGTCTTTCAGGATGGAACAGTTATGTATTCCTACGCAGGTAGGTTTGACATTGGATGCAAGGTGAATATCCAACAGTTTCCTTTTGATCCTCAGTCATGTACTTTTCACTTGCAAACATTCTATGCCCCATTAACTAATGAATATCTTCAAGTACAAGACAAGCATTTAAATCTAGAAACATATAAGGAAAACGGAGAATTTCACCTTCTCAGTGCATCGATGGCACTACGGGAATACAAGACTCTTGGTATGAGCAGTGACTGGATTGAAGTGACCTTAGTCCTGAAGAGACGAACTATGTTCTACATCCTCAACAATATCCTGCCCGTCGTGTTCCTGTCCTTTCTCAACACCTTCGCCTTCCTGTTGCCCGAGGAGAGCGGAGAGAAGATGTCCCTGTGTGTCTCCATCCTGTTGTCATATGCCATGTTCCTCACCCTCATCAACTCCTACCTACCAGCGAACTCCGACCACCTGTGTTTCTTTAGTGTCTATGTCACCCTGCTCGTGTTGATCAGCACGCTCACGTGCCTCGTAACAATCTTCATGTTCGTACTTCACACTCGTCTTCAAAGGGGCAAAGTTTGTCCAAGATGGCTGCCAATTGCTTGGGGATCAGACAGCAAAGTTGGGACAACTGAACCACGGGTTGAGATTGAAGACGTGGCTCCAAACCAATCAGATGTTAAGGAGAAAGCAAACAAGACGACAGACATGAAGGATTTGATAATGACCAGGTGTAACAAGGCGGCATTTGGGACGTTTTTCACACTCACAATTCTCATTAACCTGATATATTTCATCAGCGTATCTCTATGAAGTACATCATTCACTGATATGGCTGAATGTGAACTGTGTGGGCTAAGAAAACTAACTTTTACTACTTTTACTTTTAGCTTGTAGGCTCCTGGAGACAACCGGGGAAAAGAATATATTCGATTGGTTGGTAGATGTATATGTTGACATATCTTGTGTGTGTTTTGAGGCATCAGTCACAAATATAATAGGAGATGCCATATCGTGACCTTTTGGGGTGAACAATTGACTTGCGTTTGATATCTTTTAAATGGAAAGTGAGTGAGTGAGTGAGTTAAAATTTAAAGTCACAGCGGCATTATTTCAGCCATATCATGACTTGTAAAATGGAAAGAGTTTTTGCCGCGTTTATTTGCATTCGTTCATCCTAACTTCACAGTAGGGAAGGCTGGCATGATATTCGGATTATGATTATTATAAAGTAGTGTCCAAAAGAAACGATACCACCTGTTTGCAACGACAAAAAAAGAAAAACTAAACAATGCAGAAGTTTAGGATTGGTGTTATGCTTTTGAGAAATCCTTTCACTACATCTGTACAAAAATTTCATTTCAATAAAATCTGTACAACCAATATGACAAGCCTTTTAAGATGGGTGGGGTCGAAAAATGAACATTTCGTTAGAGCACTGATCACAGAAACAACGGGAAATGTCACACCACACGTCTCAAAGTCAAGTCAGTAGCGGGTATGTCCACCGTGAGCATCAATACATGCCAGAACACGCCTACGGACTGATGACGTCAAACGTCTGATGACGTTGGGAGTGATGCGTTGCCATTCCTCGAGGAGACATCGTTCCAAGTCCTGGACGTTGACTGGAGGCACACGGCGACGTCGGATTTGCCGATCGAGGTGGTCCCATAAGTGCTCGATGGGATTCATGTCCGGTGAACATGCGGGTCATGGCAAAACCTGTACGTTGGCGTTGGCAAGGAAGTTCTGTGTCAATCTTGCTGTGTGTGGCCTTGCATTGTCATGTTGGAGAAGGAGTCCACGAGGCTGTTGCTGAATAAAGGGCACCACAACAGGCCGTAGGATGTCATCAAGATAACGCTGTGCATTCAGGTTTCCACGAATTACGACAAGCATTGTTTTGACGTCACCACATATGCCACCCCAAACCATTAACCCTCCACTTCCAAACGGCCGGACCTGTTGGATACAGTTGGGCGCCAAACGTTCACCAAATCGTCGGTATACAAGCTGCCGTCCATCGTTTCTGAAGATGAGGAATCTGCTCTCATCAGAGAACATAACACGTGCCCAGTCCCGCCGTTGCCAACGTCGAACTCGCCTGGCCCAGATCAATCTGTTGTTCCGGTGTCGAGGCGTCAGGAGCGGTCAGCGGCAGGGATGACGTGGCCGGATACCATACTGCCGTAGTCTCCTGTAGACGGTCTGTCGACTGATCCTGTGTCCCTGTGCTGTAGCCGCTGTGGACGTCGCTGTTACGGTGCGGCTCCTCAGGTGTAATACCCGGATGTAACGATCTTCACGGGGCGTGGTTACTCGTGGTCTTCCACTCCTGGGCCTGTCTGACGTCTGACCTGTCTGACGTAACCGCTGCATCAACCTGGTGATAGTGATGCGTGCGCAGCCCAACCTTCTGGCGACGTCGACGTGTGACGCTCCTTGTTGGACCATTCCAACGTCTCTCTCTCTCTCTCTCTCGATGGCTGTCAAACGTGGCATATCTTGTGTTCTTTTTGTTGCTGTGATATCAACGTGTCTGATCAGCCGTTTTATACAGTTTTTCTGCACGTACAGAACATGCTAGAGAGGGAAATGTCACTTTCACGAAATTTACGTTTTTTCCCGGAAGTGATCACGTGTTCCCGGTATTTTTTATCGACTATGCTGTGTTTGGGATGTGCAATACGAATTGGCATGTTTTCATACTTGACAATTCACTTAGTAAAAAACAATTTTGAAAATAAGTTGGTATCGTTTCTTTTGGACACTAGTTTATATAATCCTACATTCAGCCGGGGAATTACACACAATATAACATACGAGGTAAGTATTACTGATCAGGCGGGGATAGAGCTGGCCCTGGCCCTCCTGATCCCCGGATTTGAACCCGATAGAGCACCTGTGAGATGAATTGGATAGACGGCTACGCCGACGTCAACCACAACCCTAGACGTTGCAGCAGTTGGCTTTTGCGTTGCAGGCCGAGTGGTCTACCATTCCCCAGGATGTGATTCGCATACTAGTCTCTTCCATGGGCAGGAGATGTCAGGCCGCTATCAATTCCAACGGGGGACATACACGTTATTGATTGTAGCTGACCTTCACCCTGGACATTTCCTGTACCGATAACTGAGATGACTACAATCACCAAGTGTTCTCGACCCGTGAAGATTCCGGGGTAGAATAGGTCTTCAGCAACCTATGCTTGCCGTAAAAGGTGACTATGCTTGTCGTAAAAGGCGACTAACGGGATCGGGTGGTCAGGCTCGCTGACTTGCTTGATGCACGTCATCGATCCCAATTGCGTGGATCGATGATCATGATATCAATCACTGGAGTGTCTGGTCCAGACTCGATTATTTACAGACCGCCGTCATATAGCTGGAATATTGCTGAGTGCGGCTTTAAACAACCAACCAACCAACCAACCAACCAACTTTATTTCGCATGCCACTATCCTTTGTGATTGCTGAAACGTTCAGTCTGTTCAGTAACCTATGGATTGCTGCTCTATCAATCTTAGCATGGGTCATCTACTGCACGGAAGGACTTAAAATAGGGCGTGGCTAACCTCAATCAAAGAACTAAAGGCCTAATGTAATCGCACCAGAAAATGAAGATTGTTCTTGAGAAAATTGAATTGGCTGTTCAAGTGGTTAAGTTTCTGTTTGTTTGCTTTTTTTTGTTTAACGCCGCACTCAGCAATATTCCAGCTATATGACGATAGTCTGTAAATAATCGAGTCTGGAACAGACAATCAAGTGATTGATATCATGATCATCGATCCACGCAATTGGGATCGATGACGTGCATCAACCAAGTCAGCAGGCCTGACCACCCGATCCCGTTAGTCGCCTCTTATGACAAACACAGTCGCCTTTTAGGGCAAGCATGGGTTGCTGAAGACCTATTCTACCCCGGATCTTCACGGGTCGAGAACACTTGGTGATTGTAGTCATCTCAGTTATCGGTACAGGAAATGTCAAGGGTGAAGGTGAGCTACCATCAATAACGTGTATGTCCCCCGTTGGAATCGATAGCGGCCTTGCATCTGCCCATGGAAGAGACGAGTATGCGAATCACATCCTGTCATCATGAGCATCGATCCAAGCAATTGGGATGGATGACATGAATCAACCAAGTCAGCGAGCCTGACCACCCGATCCGTTAGTCACCTCTTATGACAAACACAGTCGCCTTTTAGGGCAAGCATGGGTTGATGAAGACCTATTCTACCCCGGATCTTCACGGGTCAAGTGGCTGAGAGTTGAGTTGTAGTTATCAATGTCACAAAAGTATCTCCAAGTTTCTGAACTTAGCAATAAACGTTGTGTTAACTAACTTAGTTCTAATTACATTTCACACATTAAACCACCTCTACCTAAGACTGGTGGGTAAAACTATAAATAGTGTATATTGCGTTCATAAAATGAACGTTTGAACTTTCTTTTAGACGTTTTATGTCTTACTTAAATAGGGTTTTCGTCACTCCAACAACCAACTACTTTAAAGCGACGTTTCGGTGCATAGTCTCACACAACTGAGGCCAAAGTATTTCCTGGAACAATCGTGTCCCTTGTCAGAACATCATCATCTATTGTTGACATGTGAGCCTACACACCCAAACTGGAAGTAGCTCTAAAAGGTTTTAATCCCCATCAGCACCCTACGCCAATGTCCACATACATTAATGTTTTAGAAAATGATTGGATTGTATGACATGCACTCATGGCGAATACCTGGGGCTTTATACATTTGTATATTGAAAACAGGTTCTATAACGTGTCTGAACCCAGCCTTTTGTATATTGTTCAAAAGTCGATGTTTCCGATGACAATTAAATGGTGAGGTGAGGTGAGGTGAAATGGGGTTTAACGTCGCGTCCAAGATTATTGCACTTATATAGCGACGTGCATGTACGTGTGTATGTGTGTGTGTGGCTGCTTGTACTAGTCCGGACTGATGCCGATTTATAGTGCTAGCTCACTGAGATACCATGCCGCAGTTTAACATGAATACCCCACTCAGACACAGTATACTGACTCCGAGCCGACCAGTCCTTGTTTTAGCCCCTTAATGCCGAGCGCCTGACAGGGTAACAACAAGTTCCATCTTTAACGTCTTTTGGTATGACGCAGCCGGGGATCGAACCTCGGACCTTCCGCTCTCCGGGCGGACGCTGTACCACTAGACCACGGAGGCGGTCCTCTCAAGTAGTGATGATGCCAGGTGTTCACGAAATTGACATAGGTTGATGTTGATTTCAACATGCTCAATATTATTATAGAAATATCTACAGATGCATGCGGTTTGGTACTGTGCCTTTCAATAAATTAGAAATATTACAAAGTTTGATTTATTATTTGTCAGCTGTAGAATCTGAATGACATGTGAAAATGAAGCACCCTTATTGTCACTCGAGGTGGCCTTTTATAAAGAAAGCAACCTGCCCGTTTTGTATGCTGCAAGATGCAGAAAACACGAATGCGAGAAGCTCATTTCTTTTGTCCGTCGTCGTTTTTTGCTGGAGTATGGCTAAAACAGTCTAAATCCAGTTCCCTTAATTATTATGCATGATGCCCGTGATGAACGGGATAAACTGGGAACATGTTGGATAATGATGACAACTCAGCGATGAAATACTGACGGCAAAGTATCACAAATTAACATTATATTATATTTTTCCCCACTCAGGACATTTTATATCTAAGTACTTTTTGAAGGATTATATTCCCACTTGCGCCTTACGCCAATGACAACCGACATTAATGCATTCGGAAACTTTTCACCAAATGTGCTATGTTTTATGTTAAGGTCTACCATGGAAACAGTTATTCATGTTGAACTGTTGAAAAGTCCAAAAATCGATAATATTATTGCAATTTAGATTAATGTGGGGACGCAACTTAGAATTGACAAAGCTATTTCAGTTGTTGATGGAGTGCACAAATTCAGACAATGACTAAACGATCCTCGCTTTGGCACGTTTCTCCTGGATACGAACAATACCCATATAACGTCATGAATCATTGCTAATACTCAGTATCTGCGTGTGGCCTTTTTAGATGCGGTTGTGCTGTTTCCTGCAAAACATTAACCACAGTGATATAGTTTACGAAATGTTTGACTTCTGCAGATGTTTCTTTATCCTTCTTCTCTGTCACCTGACAATTGGCTCTGTTTCTTACAAAGAGAAAGACTTCCTGGCCAATCTCACCTTGAAGTACGACCCCAAGATCCGCCCCGTCTTAGATGGTTCCAAGTCGACAGTGAGTATCAGATTGGGATTGTCCGCAATATTATCTCTGGATGAAAAACAGGAAGTGCTCAGCTTTAGAGCATGGGTTTTAATGAGGTGGGAGGACCAGCTTTTGGTGTGGAATACGACACATGGCATTCCCGCATCAGTGACTATGCCCTTGGTGGATGTATGGTCACCTACCATACTGAATCTTGAATCTGTGACAAACTTGAAGCATCTAAAAGAAGAAACGGACACGGTGCTTGTCACCAATAATGGTAGAATTTCGTATCTCTACTATGGCAGGTTTGACATAGGATGCAAGGTGAATATACAACGGTTCCCTTTTGATCATCAGTCATGTACTTTTCACTTGCAAACAGTTTATACCTCAGTATCTAAGGAATATCTTCAGGTAGAAGACACATCTTTAGATCTTGAAACGTATAAAGAAAACGGAGAATTTCACCTTTTCAGTTCATCAATTGAACTGCAGGAATTCAAGGTTTACAATAACAGTCAAGAATGGATAAAAGTGACCTTGGTTCTGCAAAGACGACCTATGTTCTACATCCTCAACAACATCCTGCCCGTTGTGTTCCTGTCCTTCCTTAACACCTTCGCCTCCCTGCTGCCCGAGGAGAGCGGAGAGAAGATGTCCCTGTGTGTCTCCATCCTGTTGTCATATGCAGTGTTTCTCACCCTCATCAACTCCTACCTACCAGCAAACTCCGACCACCTGTGTTTCTTCAGTGTCTATGTCACCCTGCTTGTGTTAATCAGCACGCTCACGTGCCTTGTCACAATCTTCATTCTGGTATTTCACTCTCATCTTCAAAGGGACATGGATAGTCCAAGATGGCTTCCAATTGCTTGGGGATCAGACAGCAAAGTTGGGACGACTGAACCACGGGTTAAGAATGACGATGTAGCTCCATACCAATCAGATGTGAAAGACAAAGCAAACAAGAAGTTAGACATGAAGGATGCGACAATCACCAAATGTAACAAGGTGGCATTTGGGACGTTCTTCACACTCACAATTCTTGTTAATCTGATATTTTTCATCAGCGTATCTCTATGATGGATACCTTTTACTGACATGGCAGAGAAAGAACTGCTTCTGCCACAAAACAATTTACTACCGTCATTGCTTCTGCAATTTGTCAGCCAAGAACGTTCCTGTTGAAAAGAAGACAAACACCTTTGGTTGGTCAGTGGATATATGTTCTTATTGTATCTTACATGTGTTTTACAATAGTGGAATAGTGCTGAATGTATTTAAACTAGTTAACTGTTATATGTATAAATATGTTTGTTATAGATCAGGGAGCGACCGTTTGATATTCTTGGGGTGGCCTGGGATTTTATCAAATAAAAATTAGAAATTGACTACCATGTGAATTACATATTTTGTGGAATAAGGTATTCCAATTGTAAAATGATCTCTCTTATATGTCTGTAACAACCTTCAGCTCCCTGCATTTATCCAACCATCCCGTGAAGGTCCGGGGTAGAATAGGTCTTCAGCAACCCTTGCTTGCCGTAAAAGGCGACTATGCTTGTCGTAAAAGGCGACTAACGGGATCGGGTGGTCAGGCTCGCTGACTTGGTTCATGCATGTCATCGATCCCAATTGCGTGGATCGATGCTCATGATATCCATCACTGGATTGTCTGGTCCAGACTCGATTATTTACAGACCGCCGTCATATAGCTGGAATATTGCTGAGTGCGGCGTAAAACAACAAACCAACCAACCAATCCAACCATCCGTGCCAAGCCTGTCCCCACAATGAACCATATGGCTACTGTTAGCAAGGGGAAGGATCTTCACAAACTTAACTTCAACTGATTATCTAGCATCCATGAAATCAAAAGCAGGAAAGTTCAAATAAAGCATGTTCAAATGAGATTGTACAGGTTCCAAGTGTTGATAAAAAACACTTTGTTGCTATTATTTCCATTGATTTAAGAACGAAGGAACAAAACCTCTACAGTCAACTTAAATCAAGTCGATAGTGATATGTTAATATGTTAAAAAGTTAATATGTTCAAAGGCTCCATCATTGAATCTAAAGTGTTGGGGCTACTTCAGTTTAGGATCAGTAATATATTTTAAATTAAGACATTATTGTCATTATTATACCTTCAGATTATTACAAATAAAAGTTGGGAGAATAGTTGAATTGTTAACATTGGCATTGTTAATACAAATCGTAATGCTATAGAATATTACAACATGCACAAATTTAAATTCGTATAATTAAATTTGTATTATATTAAAATTGTTACAGAGACTTGATAAAGTGGTAATAAAATGTATAGTCCCTATGTATATAAGTAAGCTTTTGATTGTCTTTTCGTCATAGAACGATGATATATCATTTATATATCGATATCATCCTGTTATCAACGTTCATGGTGACATTATCCTGGCGTAATGTCTCAGTATATTGTTGTTCGACTTAATTCGATATGTAAAGAGTTTTCAAACGGGGTGTATATACATTTAACTGCATAAAATAGTTCCTTTCTGTGACTTGACCGATTTACTTCAGTCATAAGTATCATTCATGGACAAATCTTCGTCCACGGACATGGGAATGTTATGTTCTTGCACAGATAAAATCGCCAATAATTCGAAATTTCCATCTGTCATCGCCCTAGGAAACGAATGTATTTCATTCGCCCTTTCTGGCCTAAAGTGGCCTCTTGGTGGGGTCAAACGGGTTCCGTTTAATTTATTGGAAGTCACGAACTGGACATGGTTTGTTAGAGCAGAATTCCTTTGTTGCTCAATCTGCGACCTCATTGCTTTCCTAAGAGCGATTTGAGAGTCTTGTCGGGAAGGAATACAACAGCTTTTCTTTCTGGAACTGGACAAAGAAGGACATTTAAAGGGGACGTTGGTGACACCAAATACGTCATCAGCGTCCATGGTATTTCTAGCAGTATTCGGCACGGAATGGCGAGTACCATTACGAGGCGTGGACACAGTAGATTCACGATGTGATGCCTGCCCACGTCTTGGTGTGGCTTCTTGGTGAGCTCCTTTAGGGTCACACTGAAGGATATGGGTCTTCTTTGTCTGGCGTGGGGAGGTTCTTGGAAGAGCCACCCATCTCCGGATCGTAACGCCCTGGTTTGTGTCAGAAGGAGGTCTGATCATTTCTCTGAAAAGGAAGAAGGATATTGGAATCATGGGTTTTATTCGACATCGGGCAATAACATATGCATGTGAGGTTAGCTGAAAAATGGAGTTTAGGCCTAACTGAGATACAATGCCGCAGTTTAACATGAATACCCCACTCAGACACAGTATAATGACTCCGAGCCGACCAGTCCTTGTTTTAGCCCCTTAATGCCGAGCGCCAGACAGGGTAACAACAAGTACCATATTTTAACGGTTTTTTGGTATGAAGCGGCCGGGGCTCGAACCCACGACCTTCCGCTCTCCGGGCAGACGCTCTAGAACCAGACACGGAGTCGGTCGAACATATACATCTACGCAAATGAACTGTGATCATATTCACATTCCTATTTATTATATTGTTGATTTTAGAAGCACGAATCAAACTCCTCTTTATCTCAAAGAAGACTTAAAGCTTATATGTGATTAATTGGGAATTTTTTTTTAAACCCGATTCAAGTATAAGACACAAATGTTTCTCCTACCATATGTACATTTGTCAAAGAGAATTACAATACTACGTTTATATCGAACACGCTTATAACGAACTGACCGATATAACGAACTTACTTTTAGTCCCGGCCATTTGTTGTATATATGCTGTTTATACGCTTATAACGAAGTACGGTTATTACGAACTAAAATTAGTGGTCCCTTTGAGTTCGTTATAACCGTAGTTTACTGTATTGTGTCTCCGTTCGTGAACTTTTAGTTTCATGCATAATGCATTGTTTCGTGACAAAGCATATAATATGTAACATGTAACATAGTTAACAAGGAGCCTATCACATACATTTGCGTAAGAAATATTATGTCATATGTTAGCTTTACGCGAGTTTTTATAAAAGGCACGGCTGGGATTAGGATTACATTCGGATTAGAATTACTGTAATCCTACAATCAGCCTGGGACTAACACACGGTATTACATAGGTGATATTACTTGTCAGGTGGGGGATAAACTAGCAATGTCAAAGTTCTGTCCAGTTATATTTAGTCAGTAACATATGTATGAGTTTATACGTTTGATATATACTCAACAACAAAAGTTCCTGTGACACCAATATTTTAGTGTATTTTTCAAACAAATAAAGTTTGGTTTTCAATAGTGCAGTACATGTATGGAATCAAGTCACAAAAACGCAACTGCTACAGAAAAGCATGCATTCCATGCAAAAGTTGACTTTAAAGCAAGACCCATGCATTTCACTACCCAAGAATTTGTAATAAAAACATGTGCGTTAACAACCACTCAGAAAAACAACAAAATTACGCAATTATTCAACATTACGAAAGGCCACGCCTGTCCGAAAATGAGCGTCTGCGAGCCATTGGTATGCTTGAAGCGGGATCGAGTCAACGTGATGTTGCAAGACAATTCAACGCCCACAGAAACACCATTTGGTGTTTATGGCAACGTTGGCAACAGACGAATGCAGTCAGAGACCATCCTCGAAGTAGCAGGCCATGCGTAATCAATAATCGACAAGACAACTGGATTCGAACAACACACCTACGAAATCAATTCCAGCCAGAAACAGTGACTGCAAGAAGCATCCCTGGCCTTCGACGAATATCTTCACAAACCATACGTCGTCGCCTCGGATGTGCAGGGATTGTCGCCAGAAGACCCGCCAGACGTCCAATTTTGACAGGAAACCACCGTCAAGCACGTCTACAGTGGTGCAGACAGCGTCTACGCTGGACGGCCATGCAGTAGGGACAAGTTCTATTCACTGACAAATCTCGTTTTCACCTCAGCCACAGCGATGGACGGATTCGAGTGTACCGACGTCGAAGTGAACGTTACGTCAATCATTGTGTCATGGAAGAAGATCGGTACAGGGGCGGCAGTGTTATGGTATGGGGTGGGATTACAGCAAGACACAGGACCCGTTTGATAGTGGTAGAGGAAAAGCTCAATGGACAGCGCTACCGCGACGAGATCATCGGCACCGAAATTGTTTCAGATTTGGTAAAAAACATAACTTTGCATTAAATCTTATTCAATGTCACAGGAACTTTTGTCAGTATATGTAAGTTATGTGTGTGATATCGACAAGAATGCATTTTATCGGACACTTCCCTTCCTTTTGGTAATGGATGTGCACGGCCGGCTCGCAGCAATAAAAGCGGTAAAAGTCGCTTTGACTAAATAAAATGAAAATGAAATGTTGCTGTCAGATTTAGATTTATAATATTTATAAGGACCGTAACCAGTTCATGATTGTTTTTAAGTTTTTATCACCTACCGATCCAAATCAAACTTAAGATGATCATAAAAAATTCTTTACAATGCATAATATTTTTTGTACTTTTTCGGGCTGTCGACAAATATTTTTCACGGTCAAAATATGTTAACCGAAAAAAAAGAAAACAAGTCTCCCATCAATGATGGATATCTTTTCGTGATGTTTTATTGTTATTTCATATGGTTGTTTGATTGTTCGTGAGTGTTGTTGGTTATTTTAACTTTTAAACCTTTGTTGGTTTCTACAAAAAGATTCCCATGTGTTTCACATCAGTTGCTTCACCGCACAATCGCTGAGTTATGAATAAATGTATTTAATATGATTCTTTGGCTTGTTTAATGTTGATGCAACTGAATGTCCGCATTATTTTCTGATAAATCTGATCATTTCCTCCTAGTTTACTTTCAGTTTGATGAGCGTGTTTCGCCTCGTGCAATGGTTCACGTGTTTCGCCTCGTGCAGTGGTTGGCGTGTTTCGCCTCGTGCGGTGGTTAGAGTGTTTCGCCTCGTGCGGTAGTTGGCGTGTTTCGCCTCGTGCGGTAGTTGGCGTGTTTCGCCTCGTGCGGTGGTTGGCGTATTTCGCCTCGTGCAGTGGTTGGCGTGTTTCGCCTCGTGCAGTGGTTGGCGTGTTTCGCCTCGTGCAGTGGTTGGCGTGTTTCGCCTCGTGCGGTGGTTAGAGTGTTTCGCCTCGTGCGGTATTTGGCGTGTTTCGCCTCGTGCGATAGTTGGTGTGTTTCGCCTCGTGCGGTGGTTGGCGTATTTCACCTCGTGCAGTGGCGTTAAAGTGTTCGCTCGTCACGCCGAAGAAAAAGGTTCAATTCCCGACATGGGTACAATGATTCCCGACTTGGGGACAGTCTGCGGATTTTTCACAAATACGCAGCATATCGTGATCTGTGTTGTCCAGGTTCCCATTCCACAAAGCGATCCTTGCGCTACGACTATCGAAAGCAATTGTTAAAAGATGGGAGTTAAGATCATCTTAGAGCTACGACTATAGTAAGCTGATGTTAAAGGATGGAAGTTATGATCATCTAAGAGCTACGGCTATCGTAAGTCATTGTTAAAGGATGGGAGTTATGATCATCTAAGAGCTACGGCTATCATAAGCTGATGTAAAAGGATGGGAGTTACGATCATCTTAGAGCTACGACTATCGTAAGCCATTGTTAAAGGATGGAAGTTATGATCATCTTAGAGCTACGGCTATCGTAAGTCAATGTTAAAGGATAGGAGGTATGGTCATCTTAGAGCTACGACTATCGTAAGTCTATGTTAAAGGGTGGAAGTTATTATCATCTTAGCGCTACGACTATCGTAAGTCTATGTTAAAGGGTGGAAGTTATGATCATTTTAGAGCTACGGCTATCATAAGCTGTTGTTAAAGGATGGAAGTTATGATCATCTCAGCGCTACGACTATCGTAAGTCATTGTTAAAAGATGGGAGTTATGATCATCTTAGATCTACGACTATCGTAAGCCATTGTTAAAGGATGGAAGTTATGATCATCTTAGAGCTACGGTTATCATAAGCTGGTGTTAAAGGATGGAAGTTATGATCATCTTAGCGCTACGACTATCGTAAGCCATTGTTAAAGGATGGGAGTTATGATCAACTTAGAGCTACGACTATCGTAAGTCTATGTTAAAGGGTGGAAGTTATGATCATCTTAGCGCTACGACTATCGTAAGCCATTGTTAAAGGATGGAAGTTATGGTCATCTTAGAGCTACGACTAACATAAGCTGATGTTAAAAGATCGGAGTTATGATCATCTTAGCGCTACGACTATCGTAAGTCAGTGTTAAAGGATGGGAGTTATTATCATCTTAGAGCTTCGACTTTCGTAAGCTGATGTTAAAGGATGGGAGTTATGATCATCTTAGAGCTACGGCTATCTTAAGTCATTGTTAAAGGATGGGAGTTATGATCATCTTAGAGCTACGACTATCGTAAGCCATTGTTAAAGGATGGGAGTTATGATCATCTTAGAGCTACGACTATCATAAGCCATTGTTAAAGGATGGGAGTTATGATCATCTTAGAGCTACGACTATCATAAGCCATTGTTAAAGGATGGGAGTTATGATCATCTTAGAGCTACGACTATCGTAAGCCATTGTTAAAGGATGGGAGTTATGATCATCTTAGAGCTACGGCTATCGTAAGTCAATGTTAAAGGATAGGAGGTATGGTCATCTTAGAGCTACGACTATCGTAAGTCTATGTTAAAGGGTGGAAGTTATGATCATCTTAGCGCTACGACTATCGTAAGTCTATGTTAAAGGGTGGAAGTTATGATCATCTTTGCGCTACGACTATCGTAAGCCATTGTTAAAGGATCGGAGTTATGATCATCTTAGAGCTACGACTATCGTAAGTCTATGTTAAAGGGTGGAAGTTATGATCATCTTAGCGCTACGACTATCGTAAGCCATTGTTAAAGGATGGGAGTTATGATCATCTTTGAGCTACGACTATCGTAAACCGATGTTCAAGGTTGGGAGTTATGATCATCTTAGCTCTACGACTATCATAAGCTGATGTTAAAGGACGGAAGTTATGATCATCTTAGCGCTACGACTATTGTAAGCAATTGTTAAAGGATGGGAGTTATGATCATCTTAGCGCTACGACTACCGTAAACCGATGTTAAAGGATGGGAGCTTGTGGACAAGGCCCTGGACCCACCTGCATTAAACGATCTTAGCTGAGACTATTGTAACTATTG